AGGGAGAGGGAGAGATAGAAACATCAGTGATGAGAGAGAATCATTAATTGGCTGCAGGCCCCCTACTTCGGATTGAGCCTGCAACCCGGGCATGTGCCCTGTCTGGGAATCAAACCATGACCTCCTGGTTCATAGGTCTATGCTCAAACACTGAACAACACCGGCTGGGCTTCACCGAGTTTTTAATAGAATAGATACGTCAATAGGTAACTTGTTGGCTCAAGTGGAGCAACATGAGAAACACATCAACTGCTGGAATGTGGCTCATCAAAATTCAATCTCAGCTCAAGCCACTGAAATTCCCTCCCAGGGGCCTGCAGTGATGCGCGCACAGCCAAGGGTGGTCCCAGCACCTGCAACACTAGCACCCCCTGGGACTCCTTAAAATCAGAACTCCATGCCGCCCCCAAAGCTCCCCACTCCTCACTGTACCAAGGCCAGTAGGTAAAACATTAAAGTTTGAGAAGCCCTGAACCACATGATCCAGTTTCTCACAGACATGGGTCTTCTTGTTTGCTGCCAGGTTGAAATAATCTTTAGCAAACTCTTTTAACACCTAAGAAAGAATGGTTTCTTTTTTGAGCAAATACCTTCAAAATACGGAACTATTGTATTTCTACTTTATCTATATGAAAATCCTAAATGATCCTTTCTAAAGTAAGACTCCCCCAGGTGGACTAACTCGACAGCCAATTGTGAAGAGGAGTCTGGGTTGCCCTTGATTAATAACCGATAAGTTAGGTGGCAGGTATTATATAACCTGGCCCTCAGATCTCCAACAAATCTCTTTCACGTTCTTTATGTTGTAACTTACCCAAGAAGGCTCATATGCCAACACCACACATTCGTATATTTGTATATTTTTAACCCTGGGTTCCTCTAAAACGGAACAAATGCATGCAGTTTGAGCCTATGGCCCATTCCAGTCAACCCTTGTGAAGTTGTAAGCTTTAAGAAGTCATTTTTTAAAAGTTCCATCGATTTAAGTTCCTTTCAAGTTCCAGCGCTGCACTTCCTCATGCCAGCATGTTTGTTTTTAGGAAGTGAGGATGGTGGATCAGGGGAAGGATTCTGGAATCGCAGTGAGAACACAGAAGGGCTGAGGTTTACACTGGTTTGGAGATGTCACTGACCTCCCTGGGCAGCATCTCCCAGCCGTTTTCCCATCTGTCCTGTGGAGGCAGTGGAGTCTGGCATCGCCTCGCCACATTCTCCTAAGAACCCAATTAGGTAACGTGTGGGTCTCGTGGTGCAAGTCTGTAGTGACCTGCCTCAGGCAGGGCTGGCGGGGACTAGCCTCTGACGCGGTCCCTGCCTCACTGGGGAGAAAGGTGATGCTCGTTTTGGGGGACGGAACCACGGAGCACATGACCTGCAGGTCGTGGCTGTAGGCCCAAGGCAACCTCAGTTTTCCCTCCTGCTCCTCAGGAGTGGGAAGCTCCCGCTGGGGAGAGACTTGCTCCAAGGACACCAAGCAGGGAGTCCCCCCACCCCCACACTCCACCCCCGACTGCTCTGTGAGGTCACAAGACACAAGGGTGGCTGGGTGAGTGGGTGGCTGGGTGAGTGGGTGGCTGGGTGGCTGGGTGGCTAGGTTGCTGGGTGGCTGAGTGGCTAGGTTTCTGGGTGGCTGAGTGGCTGGGTGGCTGGGTGACTGGGTTGCTGGGTAGCTGGGTGGCTGGATGGGTAGCTGGGTGGCTGGCGGCTGGATGGCTGGGTGAGTGGGTGGCTGGGTTCCTGGGTGGCGGGGTGGCGGGGTGGCTGGGTTTCATCTGCCAGAACCCCACACTATTCCTCCCGAATGCTTCGCTGCGCACCGTTGTAGTAAGTCACTGGGTGGTGGTGTATCTTACCCAGGCACACAGGCCCAGATCAGAAGAAGCTGCAAGGCCATTCCGTCGTTAGAGTCTGAGAGAGATGCGGGCGGGCACGAGGGGAAGCCTCCGCATCTTACCACCGCGATCGCCAAGACTGCTTTCCCTTGGGGTAGAGCTCTCACAGTGGGTACTCAGGGGCAGTCACTTTCCACATCGATGTTTCCCCCGCCCGCACGCCGAGGCCGTTTCCCACGCCCGGCGTGAGCCTGTGGCTCCGTGTCTGCTCATCCTTCCACCCAGACCCTCCCCAGACCCTCAGCTCAGCCTGGCCTCCTCTCACGTGGCACTGCCTCTAGGTCCGTGGTCAGCAAACTGCGGCTCATGAGCCACAGGCGGCTCTTTGGACCCTTGAGTGTTTAGCCAAGGCCAGCTTAAGAGTACCCTCATGAAGTTACTAACAACGGACCTGCCTATAGAGTTTAAGTTTAAAAACTGTGGCTCTCAAAAGAAATTTCCAATCGTTGTCCTGTTGCTAGTTGGCTCTGCTGTCTAAGGAGTTTGCTGACCACCGGGCTAGGTCCTTGCCGCTCAGGGGGGGGCTCCACGGACCAGGAGCACCAGCAGCACCAATGGGCACCCCGGGCTCCCCCAGGCTTTCTCGATGAAAATCTGCGGCCTCATGAGGTCCACAGGTGCCACGGTCAGGCGCTCACAGCTGAGAAGCATCTTCTGGAAAACCTCCCTCCCCTCGGCCCGTCCCCGATTGGCCAGGTCCCGAGGGGAGGGCGGCTCCTTACCTTCCATCCCTCCGAGCACGTGGGCCTCCCTCCCCGCACATAAACGGGCTGGCGCCGGAGGGGCGCGGTGGTTCCCTGCGCACTGTTGTAAGAAGTTGTTGTACTAAGTTACCGGGCCGCCCGGTCAGAGCTCGCTTTCCAGATCTGCCCCATCGTCCCGGCTCCACTGCTTCCAGCTCAAGACACACAGATGACCCTCCCCTTCCAGGCCGGGAAGAGGCCTCCTCCGGTAGGGCTCCGGGTCAGGGGGCGGCAGGTCGGTCCCTTTGGCGGCAGGTTTTACTGCTGCAAACAGGGGGGTGGGCCTGGGGCAGCATGCTCCTCTCTCTGCACACAATTCCGGAATTATTGGGCACTTGGTCCCTTTTGCTTAACGTGTGACTCTCTGTTCAACACCCGTGTACCCGGAGGAAAGGCAGGCTACGCTGGGGGTGCAGGGTGACCTGACAGGAGATGGGGACCGGGGGTGGGGGAGCAGGGGTGGGGGCTGGGAAACGGGAGGGGGGGGGGATGCTGCTGAGCGGCTTCTAATTCATCAGGTGTTACCGTGGTTTTCTCTTGAGTCCGACCACAGGTCCCTTCTTCATCTGAAAAACTCATCTTTCTCCTTTTTTTTCCTTTTTTTTTTTTTTTTTTTAAATCTCTATTGTTGAAAGTATTACCTGGTACACATGTCCCCCTTTTGCCCCCAGTTACCCCCTCCTAGCTCCACCCCCACCCCAGGCCCTCACCACCCCACTGTCTGTGTCCATGGGTTATGCATATATGCATACAAGCTTCTTTGGTTGATCTCTTCCCACCCCCCCCCCCCTCATCCCACCCTCCTCTCCCCACTCCCTTCCTCCCTGTTCTCCCTCACCTTCCTCCCCCACTGCCCTCCTCTCCCCCTCCCCTCCTCCCTGCCCTCCCCCACCTGCCCTCTGAGATTCCGCATTCTGTTCTGTGCTTCTAAGTCTCCAGTCTATTGCGTTTATCAGTTTATTTTGTTCATTAGATTCCACATACGAGTGAGATCACTTGATACTTGTCTTTCTCTTATCTATACATTTCTTATCTATACAATCTCAGGTGGACCCCACCCCCCACCCCCATCCTGCCTTCCATCCAGCATGCAGTCAAAGCAAAGCATGGTACCCGTGACACACACACACACACACACCCATATTTCTTTAACACTGCAGACAGAGGACACTGGTGTTCCCCTCCAGACTGATGTTTCCAAGCGCCCATCAGCACTCCTCCACCGCTGGACTCGGGGAGCTTTCGGAGTGTCCGGGGACCTCCGGTCTCTCCTGGTGGAACTGGCTGCTTTGTGAACTCGGGGAAGGAGGGCGGGCGGCCAGGCTGCAGTTTGGAAGGAGCAGGAAGCTGGTGAGGGCTTTGGAGTCCAACTGCCTCCAGAGACAAGACGCTTGTGTCCCGCCAGGCTGTTGTTTGTCTCAGGCGAGCGGGCCCAGAGGCTCCCGGCACGGCGTCCCCGCCGCTCTCACAATCAGCCCCTCAGACCCAGGAGCATAATTATAGTCAGAATGTGCAGCTCCCCCTCCCCAGTCCTCACTGGACTGCTCCCCGTGGACACCAGCCCCCTCCGGTGCAATGAGGCTGAGTCAGGCGGGCTCCTCTCTGGAGCTGGTGGCGGGCTTTCGGTCCGAATGCTGTGCACGGTCCAGTGCCCAGACCCGGGGCGTTGGGTGCGGCCTTGTGTGTCAGTTGACACCTTCGGAGTGCACCCTGTTGAGCAATCTGACGCAGGTGAGCCCCGAGGGATGGGCCGGATGGTGGCTGATCCTTACAGGGAGCTGAGGCCTCCATCCCTGAGTCATAGCTCCCCGCGGGGTGGGGCCGTCCCACTGGGCAGGGTGCTTCCTGGCTCGTTCCCCTGTGAGGCTTCCCGGTGTGTTTGGGGTTGCTACTGGGAGCTGAAACCCACGCGCATTTTCTGGTTTGTTTTCCACATGTGAGGGGGTGGGGGTTGTTTTAAAATGTTAAACGCTCCCCTCTGCCAGGCACAGTAGCTTAGTGCATCTGATGTCAACCCTGCTGCCTCCTTTCCTGCTGCCCTGAACTCCTGCATTCCTCAGGTGACCATCCCCATGAATTAGGTGAAACAGGTCTGAGCTTAGGTCTCAAATCAACACATCTTACTTAGCTAGTTTCTTCTGATTGTTCTAAAGCACATATGTCAAACACAAGGCCCGCAGGCCAAATCTTTGATAGCATGTGAGTTGGTTAACAGCACTGTTAAGGAAAAGATTGTTCCACTCATTTTAAATTCACATTTCTGGTTAACATTGTCAGTTTATGACTGTTCAGTAAACCATTCGGCCCACGATTTAGGCTGGATTTTAGATTTTGGCCCCTTCTCTGATTGAGTTCGACACCCCTATTCTAAAGGAAATGTGGATCTCTTTCAGGCCAAGATTTAGTCTCGTTTCCACTAGACAGCAGGTTAATACCTAGTTCGTTTCCACTAGACAGCAGGTTAATACCTAGTTCTCATTTAAAAAAGAGTGGGGTAAGGGGCCTAATTAGGTTTGCTGGTTGTTGTTTTTTTTTTTAAATTAATTCCAAAGCATGGCAGAATGCTATAGGTAGGAAATAGGGAAATCCAAGGTAAAGAAACCTTTTTCTTATGATTTGTAGCTACCTACTGTGCCTGACTTGGTGCCTGTGTGAGGATTAAGCCCTTAGTCTGCTCTTGCAATTACTCGAGTGACAAGTTTAAAAATACTTGCTTTTGTAATAATAAAAGCTGTCACCTACCCTTTTGAAAAAATAAATAAGATAAAATGTTAAATACTTACTCCTCTTGGGCTTGGTTACTGTTCTGCTCGTTTGTGGAACATTCGTTGAGAGACTTCTCTACACCTTTTGATCTCTCTATGAAACACAACGCCCATGTTTGTGACGAAGGGTCCTGCGTAGATGTTCTAGAGATGAAAAAATTGAAGGAGCAAGTTAAAATTATTCCAAATGCAAAGCGTGAGAGGAGTGATAGAGAGGAAGCGACAGTATCCAAAGGTTCAGGAGAAAACCAAGCAGGAATTAAGAAGGGAAATGGCTGTCTCTCACTGCCCCCTCACTCCAACAGGGATCTCCTCTTAGAACAGGGATCTCTCTTAGAACAGGGATCTCTCTTAGAACAGGGATCTCCTCTTAGAACAGGGATCTCCTCTTAGAACAGGGATCTCTCTTAAACAGGGATCTCTCTTAGAACAGGGATCTCTCTTAAACAGGGATCTCTCTTAGAACAGGAATCTCCTCTTAGAACAGGGATCTCTCTTAGAACAGGGATCTCTCTTAGAACAGGGATCTCTCTTAGAACAGGGATCTCTCTTAGAACAGGGATCTCCTCTTAGAACAGAGATCTCCTCTTAGAACAGGGATCTCTCTTAAACAGGGATCTCTTTTAGAACAGGGATCTCTCTTAGAACAGGGATCTCTCTTAGAACAGGGATCTCTCTTAGAACAGGGATCTCCTCTTAGAACAGGGATCTCCTCTTAGAACAGGGATCTCTCTTAACAGGGATCTCTTTAGAACAGGGATCTCTCTTAGAACAGGGATCTCTCTTAGAACAGGGATCTCTCTTAGAACAGGGATCTCTCTTAGAACAGGGATCTCCTCTTGGAACAGGGATCTCTCTTAGAACAGGGATCTCCTCTTAGAACAGGGATCTCTCTTAGAACAGGGATCTCTCTTAGAACAGGGATCTCCTCTTAGAACAGGGATCTCCTCTTAGAACAGGGATCTCCTCTTAGAACAGGGATCTCCTCTTAAAATCTCGGCAAGTCAGGCACCTTCCTCTTGTTCTTATTATACTAACGAGCCCGTCTGAACTGATTGTCTGGGGACCTGGGTCTCGTCCCAGCTCCACTTAGAGTGCAATTCACACCTCGGTTCACCTGCGCCTCCAGCCTCATGGAGGAGGTCTCTCACCGGTACCTACCCTTTCCCCAGGTCAGCCCCGGACTCCGAACGGTGGCCCCTAACCCATCTCTCTTAGAATAAAATGTAATAGAACGTGCCATGGGGGCTACATTTTCTCTCTCTGGAGAATCCACACGTTTTTCAAAACATAAGGAAAAGACGGTTTTGATAGTCCATTAGGATTGTTTAGTTGAATTGGATCAGGCAGAGTGGCAAAATTCTACCTAACACGTGGAGTGTGCCGTAGGCTCCCCTCAAAATACATAGGAAAGTAGCGTGGTTTCTAGCACAGCAGACAAACTTTTAAAAAGCATTTACTCAGCCCTAGCCGGTGTGGCTCCGTAGATAGGGCGTTGGCCCTTGGACTGAAGGGTCCCGGGTTCGATTCTGGTCAAGGGCATGTACTTCGGTTGCAGGCTTGATCCCTGGCCCTGGTTAGGGTGCGTACAGGAGGCAACCAATCGATGTGTCTCTCTTTTTCTGTCTCTCCCCCCTCCTTTCCATTCTCTCTGAAAACAATTGGGGGGAAAAAAATATCCTCAGGTGAGGATTAACAGACAAAACAAAAGCATTGACTCAGAAGCCTTCCTGAGCTCCCTTTTCCCAGGGAGGCTGTGCATGCTGGAGGCTCAGCTCTCCAGCAGCGGGCCTGGTCTGAGACGGGAAGAGGCATTCTGTCCTAAGGGAGACCAGAGAAGACATGGGGAAACAGAACGGCCGGCCCAGGCTAGTGTGGGCTGTATGGGGCTGCCCCACATCCAGGCAGAGACCAGAAGGCCTGCCTCCGATGGTTTCCCATAGCTACACAGTCACCGAACACCAATACGGTTCCCACCATCTTCTGAGCAAGGTCGTAGCCACCCTCTGGTCACTGTCAGTCTTACTTAGATCTCTCATGTTACCCTTCCAACATTTTAAATATTTTACTGTTTAAATATTTTACTGTCAAGACAAGACAGCTCTAGCCGGCTTTGCTCCGGATAGAACATCAACCGGTGGACTGAAGGGTCCTAGGTTCAAATCTGCTCTAGGGCACATGTCCGGGTTGTGGGCTCCGTCCCCAGTGTGCGACGTGCAGAAGGCAGCCAATCAATGATTCTCTCTCATCATGGAGGCTTCCATCTCTCCCTTCCTCTCTGAATTCAATATAAATATGTTAAAGAAACAATAACAAAAAAAGAGAGGACAGATACGAAGCATGGTTTTCACGAGGACCCACACGCGGAGTTTGTCCCTCAGCTCTGCAAGTGCATCTCCGCGCTGCTTCCCTGCTCCACGAACATTCTGCTCCGTTTCACTGGCAACCACACCCCCGGGGAAAGGGCCATTCTGCTAGCAAACTGCGGCTCGCGAGCCACATGCGGCTCTTTGGCCCCTTGAGTTTTTAGCCAAAGCCAGCTTAGGAGTACCCTAATGAAGTTACTAACAATGTACCTTATCTATATAGTTTTAAGTTTAAACACGTTGGCTCTCCAAAGAAATTCCAACCGTCGTACTGTTGATAGTTGGCTCTGTTGGCTAATGAGTTTGATGACCATGGTTCTAGGCCAACTGCTTTAGGTTCAAGGACAGCCGATGAGAAATGGATGAAAGTGCGAGGGAAACCTTCTCGGACCTATAACGCATGTGCATTGCTCTTGTGTGCAGTTGGTCTCACGTCATTTTTCCTTTAGGATTTTACTTTTGTAAGTTTAGCGCCATGAATGTTCTATCTAGAATGAAAAGGGCAGGGTGCGCCCATGATGGGAAGCAGCAGATGGATAGGGGGGGGTTCTGAGACAGGAGGGCGAGGCCCGGTTTGTGTGGAAAGTCCTGGATTCCTGCTGTCGTATAGCTCGCCCGTTAGGTAGTTTCTGGGGATTTTTTTTTTTTTTTAATAGAAGCCCAAATCACAGAACCATACGTTCGTAATATCATTGCTCTTCTTAACGTCTACCGCCCAAATCCCATTATCCGCCAGCTAAAATTTTCCAGAAGTCCTAAAATACACAATTCCTTTGGTCGTTTGCCTCAGAGCTGTGGTGAGCAAACTGTGGCTCTCGAGCCACATGCGGCTCTTTGGCCCCTTGAGTTTTTAGCCAAGGTCAGCTTAGGGGTACCCTGATGCAGTTAATAACAATGCACCTACCTATATAGTTTAAGGTTTTAAAAATGTGGCTCTCAAAAGAAATTTCAACCGTTGTATTGTTGCTATTTGGCTCTGCTGACTGGTGAGTTTGCCGACCACTGCCATGGAGGCATGTTCTGTACCACACTCAGTGCCCGCCATTCAGTGTGACTGCACCCCGTTACATGCCAGATACTCTCATTTGGTTCTGGTTTCCCTGCGGGGTGCTCAGCTCAGTACTTCCCAACAGTCATGCCCCTCGTCACCTCCCCCACCCTCCGGGGGCGTTGGACTGGAGAGACCCTGGCCCACCCCCCATGCCCTGGGGAAGGCCCAGAGCCCAGCTGGAGACGAGGAGCTAATGGAGAAGGTGCTGGCAGGGGCGGGCTCCCTGGAAGCTGTTAAGGAGGAGGATCAGCGAAGGATTAATAGCCTGTGACCTTCTGGGCAAGCTGACAAGCTGCTGTATTTCTAGAAAGCTCCGGGCCTCCCACACTGAAGAATGTGATATGCAACTGGAGTGGGGGTCGGAATCTAGGATGCAGTTCATTGTGAAAATCCGAAGATAGCTTCGTCAGCCCCGAGAGGAAAAGGGGGTTTGGGTCGCCAGGGGGTTGGGGGGGACAGTCTTGGAAAAGCTGGTAGCAGCTGGGGAGATGCAGTTCCCATCTCTGTGAGGGGAAGGCTTGGCCCTCGCATTGATCAGAGTCCTCGGTGGTGGAACAAAGCACGACAGAGAGAGAGCTCTTAACTTTTCCGTGGCATGGCATGACTGGAAATAATTTTACAGCCCTTTTTTCCCATTCTGACATATCTCTTGGGTGCTGATGGTATGGCTGTACCACAATTTGTTTGTGTGTGTGTGTGTTTTTAAATATATTCCATTGATTTTTTTTTTACAGAGAGGAAGGGAGAGGGATAGAGAGTCTGAAACATCGATGAGAGAGAAACATGGATCAGCTGCCTCCTGCACACCCCCTCCTGGGGATGTGCCCACAACCAAGGTACATGCCCTGGGACCCTTCAGTCAAAGGGTATCTGGGTTGTGTCCAGTTTTTTACCACAGTGAAGAAATTTGCTATGAACATAAGTTTTTAACTTCTTTGGGGAAATCCCTAGGAGTACAATTAGTGGGTTGTATATTTAGTTGTATTTTGTTTTGATTTTTTTTAAAAAGGTCAAATGTTTCCAGAGTAGCTGAACCATTGTACCTTCTCACAAGCAATCGGAGAATGATCTAGCTCCTTCTCATCCTCATTAGCCTGTCATGTTGTCACCCTTTATTTTAGCCATTCTGTTAAGTGTAGAGTGATCTCTCATGATATGGTTTTTAATTTTCTCTTCCCTAGTGGCTAATGATGTTGAATATCAATTCATGTGCTTATTTGCTTTGTGTATATTTTCCTCAGTTAAATGTCTGTTCATGTATTTTGCCCATTTTCCAATTGTTTGAGTTTTTTGTGTGTTTTTTTACTGTTGAAGTTTGAAAGTTCTTAATTCTAAACATTAGTGCTTTGTCAGATATGTAGTTTGCTAATCTTTTCTCCTAATTTAAAGCTTATATTTACATCTACTTCATATGGGCAAAAGTTCTAAGTTTTGATGAAGTTATCAATCTTCCCTTTTATGGATTGTTTTGGGGGTCAAGGCCAATAACTCTTTGCCAAGCCCTAGATTCCCAAGATTATTCTCTTTTTTTCTGAATGTTTCATGGTTCTTACATTTTACATTTATGTAGTGATCCATTTTTGAGTT